GCATCTTAGCCTCTGCATCCTAAAGTGCATTCTGACAATTTATCAAATCTGTTTTTAGATTTTGGTCAGATGCAAGTTAGATAGTCTCATATTTCTGATGGGCAAAACATGACAAATAAAGTGACATCATATCCCCTGAAGACAGATATGTTGTCACCTTCCAAATGGCCTCAATTAGCAATACTGCAGCTGAGTTTGAGGAAGAGGAGCTTGTTTCAAATGCAAATTACTCTCTCCTGGTGAATGGAATTGCGGCACTGAGTTGCAGTTTGCAGCATCTTATTAGTCACTGGTTTATCTCATGAATCTCGCCACTGTTTGATCTGAAAGCTTCTGTTTAATCCCATTTCTTCGACCCCTTCTACTGCAGGCTAATTATGCAGTTGTTAATGTTAAGATTTTAATTCAGTATCTGCTATGAATTGATCTATGTAATAACACAATAACTACAATGAATGATTTAGTAACTAATATACATTAACATAGTAACTACAATGAATTATTCATTAACTAATGTGAATTATACAGGAACTACTAAGCATTATTTTAATTCTAATCCTAATATTTACATTGTGTAGTAAGGTAATAATTACACATCTCATAACTCATTTCATTGCTCTAAAAATGCTACCTAGTGTAACCTAGAGGGTGTGACCCCTCTTTTGACTCCTTGTTCCCCTCAGTGTTTCTTTCTAATGTTCTTAGCACATTTTTCTTCAAAATTCAATACAGGCTCAGACTCAGATTTCTATACATATTCTGTGGCAACGTCCATCATGAAAGAGTGCTGGGCATATGCATTTTGTATTGAATTTTGAATTGAATAACTGAACTGAATAACTTTGCATGCATTGTACATACCTTATCAGACTTGATCTACTCACTTCCATGGTGAATCCATAGGTGATTGAAATGTTGTGTAACAGTCGTAATGGGAAGTTTGAATGTTCTTAACTGGTTCTTTCAAACTATTCAATTGATTCCTTTTTGTTCCTGAGGGTTTAGCTTGTGACATCCTGAAAGACTGTGTAGATTATAGTTTGGACCTGCCTCTACATTAACCTTCAATGTTGCATTTGTGTGATAATAGCAGTCTTGCTAAGACCGTGACCATTCACCATTAATTACTAATGAATAATACACACATCCTCTTTGATTGACAGTCAGGATTCTACAGGTAATGCAACAACAGTGAAAACAGACAAATCATTCCAATTAACTTTCTTAGCTTTAAGTCATTTTTGTCCTGTTTTTGGTGAAACATTAATAAAACAGGGTGCTAACACCTCAGCGCTTTCTCATCTTGCCATTTCACTCACATTCAACTATATGAGGCTATTAAACACTGTAGGACAGAATAATGAACTGTACAGCTACCTTATCCAGACTGTACACATTGTGGATTAAAAAAAGCTTTTGATTTGTTTATGCTCATGAATTGATTCGCCTGACTCACTTAAAAGACTCAATCAAACAGAATGATTCATTCATGTATCGCCCATCAATACTCATCGAGTCCTTCTCACAAGTGCGCTTCAGTATAGATTAGGATACAGAACGACCACACAAAGTCAATTTTGATATAAATATCCAAGTTCAATAAGCACAAAAGTACAGGAAACATCAAATCATACAGCAGCAAAGTTCTCTCAGAGCTTAGCACAACTGTAGACCTCCATAGGCACAGTTCTAGGTAATGGTGAGCTGAAAGAGTTATAAAGGAGGAGACAGCCCGTCACAGTTCTATATATAGGCCCCCAGAAGCGCAGCTGCAGCCTTGCTTGCAGCCAGTGCTCCTTTTTGATTAGCCGTTTGTGATGTAGGTGCCACTGGACGCTGCTTTCCATGGTACTGAACCACACACTGCAGACTGATGCCAAAGAGGGTTCTTTGGAGTGATGACCTAGAGGAACCACTTTTGCTCCCCTAAAGAGCCTTTCAATTGGTGGTTCTTTAAAGCTATTAATGTTCTAAATGATTTTTTTTTCCTAGTACAGTACTGTGCAAAAGTGATTATCTTTCATTTATTTAATTTCGATGGCTGTCAAAACAGACATTAACTCCTTAAAAGGGAAGGGCCCACCGGCAGGCCCAAAGTTTTATTACACACTTCTAAAACCTAAGAATAGCTCAGGTAGTTTGCATTGAAATCCTTGTAGTTAATACAAAATAAGCCTTGGTATGTAATAAGCCTGAGAAAAAGAATAACACATTAAATACTGAAAACCTGGTGCTCTATTTAGTTGTCAAGGCTTCTGTGTAATTTTCAGTTAAATATGTTTTCTGCTTTTTTTGGATACTGAAAATTTGTACTTCAACTGGAAATCAATGAAGGCTGGTCTCTGAATTTCACACAGTACTGTATATCAAAGCAAAGAAGCACTTAGGAGCCTTCACTTTTAAAACATAAACTCTAAATCTGCCATTAAGAGCTGTTATGAGACCACTCATTCAAGTGCTCCAATGAGTGTCATGGCATATATGTCATTGCTGTTATTACCTGAGAGAATGCTAAATAGCAGCTCCAAAGTGGGAGATCAACCAGGACCTATAACTCTGTGCTCTCTGTAGCTCCTTAATTTAGCTCAGACTCTTGCCAGGATTTCTCTGGAGTGGTTGTGAATAATTTACCCTTGAATCAGATTTGTTTACATTTTTCATTTAATGTTCACGCTAACAAGCAGGGACAAGCGCTGATGTTAAGAGACTGAACATCACTCTATTACTCTGAAAATATTACACTGACAATATCTGTGAGTGAACCAGAACTGAAACCAGATTGCACACTAAACATAATGTCTTTCTTAATCACTTTAAAGGGGAATTTCACAAATTTCAAAATTTCTGCATTATTAAATGGTTAAGATGCAAACAAAATCATTCACAGTGGTTTGATGTGAAATGCTCTATCCTAGAGAATCTTGCAGTGTCACAGTGGTGGTGATTAGGAACCAGACGTCTGAAGCATTTTAACACCTCTAAAAGCTACTTCACAAAATATTATCATGTTACAAATGCACTGCCTGATGCCTGAGTTGTTATTTTTACCACTATTTTAACATTATCAGCATTACATATAAACTCCGAATACATGTTTAGGTTCACTTGTGGTTTGGATGGAAAATAAAGCAGTGATATTTGAGACATTGCGACCTCTGTACACTATAAAGACATCTGAGTTAATTTGTGTATCTACAAGAAACCATTTCAAATCAAAGCACTCTGAATAACTGTTTACATCTCAGTGGTCTAATTATGGAAAGAACTGTAAAAATCAGAGGAATTCCACTGTAATGGCCTTTTCTGACTTGCTTTTTTCACAATGAGGGGGAACCAGATTCATTTCTCCAAAGGTTAATAACTAATCTAGTCTTAATGTTGTTGATGTAAATATTATCTACTCCTAAAAATAAAAGTGCAAGAAAGGGTCCTTCATTGCAATTCCATAGAAGAACCATTTTTGGTTCTCTAAAGAACCTTTCATTAGATTATGCTGAACCTTCACACAATGTAAACATTCTTTACCATTTCATGAGTTCTTTCAAAAAACATTTTATTATGTAAAGGTTCTTAAAAGGTTCTACATACACACCTTCTTTCGTAAGTGTGTACATTCCCAAAAACAAAGGTTCCTACATGGTTCTTGGCTTGGACTTATAGCTGTAAAAAAGAGCTTTAATTGGTATAGAACCTTTACAGTATGTAGAGGTTCCTTAAACGTCATGACGGTTTTTCACACCCACACACCTCATCTGCAAAAACAGTTCTTAAAAGAACCATCCATTGAAATGTTGTTGTTTATTTTACAGAGTGCAAATTCCTGAAAACAAGTGTTCCAACATGGTTCTTGGCTCAAACTTATAGCTGTATGAAAGACCTTGAATTGGTTCAGAACCTTTACATTATCTGGAGGTTCCTTAAACTTCATGAAGGGTTTTCACACTTACTCACCTCATTTACTAACCATGGTTTTTCAATGAAACCATCCATTGGAATGTTCTTCAGGGAACCAAAAAGTGGTTCTTCTATGGCATTGCTCAAAGAACACTTTGTGGTATCTTTTTTTAAAGAGTGCACATTCTTGAAAACAAGTTTTCCTACAAGGTTCTTGACTTGAATATATAGCTGTAGGAAAGACCTTGAATTGGTATAGATCCTTTACGTTATCTGGAGGTTCCTAAAACGTCATGAAGGTTTTTCACACCCTCATTTACTAAACATGTTTTTTTAATGGAACCATCCATATAAATGTTTTTTATCTGGAGGTTCCTTAAATTTCGTAAAGATTTTTTCACACCTACACACCTCATGTACAAAAAAAGGTTATTCATTGGAATCATCCACTAAAATGATCGTGAGGAAACCAAAAAGTGGTTCTTATGACATTGCTCAAAGAACCTTTTGTGGCGCCGTTTTTTAAAAGAGTGTAGATTCTTAAAAATAAGTGTTCCTACAATGGTTCTTGACTTGAACTTACAGCTGTAGGAAAGACGTTTAACTGGCATAGAACCTTTATATTATGTGGAGGTTCCTTAAACTTCAATACAGTATATCACACTTACACACCTCATGTACAAAAATGGTTCTTAAAAGAACCATCCATTGAAATCTTATTGTAACAATGTACATTTTTAAAAAACAAGTGTTCCTACATGGTTCTTGGCCTGAACATATAGCTGTAGGAAAGGTCTTCAAGTGATATACATTTGGTATACATTCTGTGGAGGAGGTTCCTTAAACTTCACGAAGATTTTTCACACCTACACTCCTCATGTACAAAAAAATTATTCTTCATCGGAACTATCCATTAAAACATTCTTTAGGGAACCAAACGGTGGTTCCTGTATTACATCTACAAAGAAACCTCTGTGGCAGCTTCTTTTGTGAGAGCGTAACGGGCCCGTTGTCGTTACGTGGCCTCCCACGGTGGGTTTTCTTTGTGCGCATGATCTTTGTACAAAGCGCTCGTGAGCTTGGCTGTGGCAGTGAGTTTGCGCTGAGAGAGGCGCAGGAAGGTAGAGGAACAGTGTTTGGAGGGAGGACCTCGCTCAGCACCAACAACCTGCAACCCGCCAGCCGCAGTCTTTCAGTCAGAAAGGCGATGATGACACGATAATAGCGTCGTTGACTTTAACGAGGGAAGCGCTCGGGGATTAACACGAGGCGTCCGCGCTTCAGCACCCTGGACAGCGCACCAGCCAAGTTGCGCCTTTCGCCACTTCTGGAGTTGAATTCTCTCTACAGGACGAGCACAGCGGCGGACCTTAATGAGGAACCATGCGCGTGCCAACGTGTTCTCCATCCCCTGGCGTAGACTGCGTAGCCCAACGGGACTTCTTCTGAAGTGAGAAATGGACTTGGCAGAAACTCTGCTTGCGCTGTTCATCGTCGTGGTCGCGATCGTCTCTTTGCTGTCCAACTTGCTGGTGCTGCTATGCTTCGTCCACAGCAGCGAGATCCGCAAACAGGTGCCGGGCATTTTCACCATGAACCTGTCCTTCTGCAACATCCTGATCGCCACGCTCAATATGCCGTCCACTCTGGTGGGCATCGTGAAGAACCAGCAGCCTTTCGGGGATCGCCTGTGCCGCGCGGTCAGCTTTCTCGAGACTTTTCTGACCGCCAACACCATGCTGAGCATGGCAGCGCTGAGCATCGACCGCTGGGTCGCGGTGGTCTTCCCACTCAGCTACTCTAGTAAGATGCGCTACCGGGACGCGCTCGTGCTCGTGTGCTACTCGTGGCTCCACTCTCTCACCTTCTCGCTGGTGGCGCTGCTCTTCTCCTGGGTGGACTACAGCCAGGTCTACGCCTCGTGCACGCTGAAGCTGACCGAGGAGAGCGCGCGCACCAAGTTCGCCGTCTTCACCGTCGTCTTTCACGCCACCAGCTTCATGCTGTCGCTGCTCATTTTGTGCGTCACCTACTTGAAGGTGCTGAAAGTTGCACGCTTCCACTGCAAGAGGATCGACATCATAACCATGCAGACCCTCTTCTTGCTGGTAGACATACACCCAAGGTATTTCCCCCTTATCATCACTTTCTGCTTATCTCTATGCATCGCACTGTAAGGAGCAGGAGGCTCATAGTTTTTTGCGCCCCCCCACCACAAGTATGTTTCTCATGATGTTTCTGCTGTTCTCATGCCGCTTCTTGCAGTGTTAAGCAACGCTGCCTCGCCGAACAGAAGAGGAGGAAACAGCGCGCGACCAAGAAAATCAGCATTTTTATTGGATCGTTTATCATCTGTTTCGCCCCGTATGTCATAACCAGGTAGGTCAGGTTATGTTGTTCGAAATGAAAGAGCAGGTCAAACTCCAGGCCAAGCTGCATTCCTCCGTTCTCGGCGGTTTAATGCGCTCTGAAATAATGGGATTTCGGAGGAGTCGCTGTAAGTAAGTTTAACTGCTTATTCAGGTGATTCTCAGCGGCGTCATTTAATTGCACGGTGACGTGACGTAAACCGCTTCATAAAAATCTAAGAATAGCTGATGTGCAGCAGACGTGATAACACACAGGCCTACAAATACTTTCGGTTACTCTGGTGATTTGCACCTGATTATGTCTTTAACACCCTCAAACCTTATTGAGCAAGCTTGTGAAATATCTGTTTACCCTTCCCTCCACCCCCCTCCTCATCTCTCTGTACTTCTCTCCCCTGCTCCTGTAATGTCTGCATTTTCTTCTCCTCCCCCACATCATAACAAGCAAGAAAAAACAATATATGCAGAGATAAACAGTTATATATTATATATTATATTATATAAATAACTAAATATATAAATGCATGAATATATATGTATATATATACTCTTGCCAAACGGTTTAACAGATCTAAATAGTTAGATAATAGACATGTAGACTGCTCACTTTTTCTTCTGTTGTAACAATGTCGATCGTGTTCCAATAAAGGAACCCTGGTGCTGTTTGCATAAGAACCATTTCACTATGCAAAGAACCATTTACGCACAAAATAGTTCTATATGTTTCTAAATAGAACCATGCCCTTTACTAAAGAACCCTTGAGGAACCATCTTTAAGTGTGTATTCTATCTATCTAACTCTCTCTCTCTCTCTCTCTGTATATATATATATATATATATATATATATATATATATATATATATATATATATATATATATATATATTTCTGTTCCTACCATATAGAACCATTTTTTAAAGAACCAGATAGAACCATACCCAGTGGTTCTTTCACTTTTCACAGTTATAGATACAAAACTCTTGTCTTTACTAAAGAAACTTTGAAGAAGCCCATTTGTTAAGGATGAAAAACACATACACTATATATTCGATGTAGAACCTTCACAAAATGTGGAGTTTCTTTAAACTTTAAAAAGGCTCTGTGGCGTCACTTTTGGCACCTTTATTTAGCACTTTAGTTATATATATGTACACACACACACACACAGATATTCATATACATGTATATATATATATATATATATATATATATATATATATATATATATGTATATATATTTTAATAGTCATACAATGTACTATACATATTCTCTCTTCTGATTGTCTATTGCAGTGGTTCTGGGTTCTGAATCCTTGTCCTGTGGTGCTGCTCTGCAAGTTGTAGTGTACATTCTGCTTCCCTGCAGGGAAGATGTACTGCAGGACCATGACTGAGAGCCACTGATCCACTGAGTTCTAAATGATTCTCACTCTCTGTGTTCTAGGCTGACGGAGCTTCTTCCCTTTGTGGATATCAATCGGTACTGGGGCATTGTCAGCAAATGCTTAACCTACAGCAAGGCTGCTTCGGATCCCTTTGCGTATTCTCTTTTGCGCCAACAGTACAAAAAAGTCCTGGTAACAGTGGCCAACCGGCTACTGAAACGAGACTTATATCCTTCCTCTGGACATAACAGTTCGCTGGACACAGAAAATGACTATTCTCTCCAAAGAATCAGCTAATGGCAGCTGTAGACACAGGAAAATCCCATTGCCTTGATGTCAAAAGAGGAAGATACAGAGACAGAGAGAGAGAGAGAGAGAAAAGGAGACAGTTATGATGACGATCACCCAGATACAGCTGGTGATGATGACATGATGTACACATGGCCATATGCAGTACAGATTGCAGTGGTAAACATGGACAGTAGCAAAGGATACGTGACTAATTGGCCATGTACTTCTTTTGTGCACAACCAACACACACACACACACATGCACAAACAAGATCACACACACACACACACACACACACACAAACAAGATCACATACACAGATCAGAGACATCAGAACAGGATAACAAGCTCGCCAGATGCCGCCATCCCTTGCAGAGTGAGATAAGCTCTTTTCCAAGATGATATTTTAGTAGAAGCTCTAATATGAAAGTGGAATTTTGGAAAACTACCTTGAACCAAAGCCATCAGTGCACATAATGTGGCAAATGGCATCAGTGGACCTCTTTAAATGGAAAAAAGTGTTATTTTCCATTGATGTTTCTACTTGTAGACAGCCTAGTTATTTTATTTGTTATAAAAGTGGACCTCATCGTTAAACTACTCGTGAATTCATTGTGAATTCACTCATTCACAAGCCTATCAGTCACTGGACAATACTGCACTTTGTTCTAAGTTGATATTTGCTATTAGTTTCAAAATCAGCCAAAGTTGACTATCACGCTGTAGTACAGTATCTATGATTTGTTGTAACTGAATGTACTAGATTCTTGTTACAGCAGCACATTGTGCACGCAAGTCGTGTTTCTAGAGGTTTTGATGTGACTACTTTGCACAGTATAAGAAATTTATAGTGTACAAAAATTTGTTTTAATCAGTGAGGCAGGTGTGTGACGTGAGGAGTGATTAACCAATGAAGTGAGTAATGAAGTGCTTTAAACTGTATTTGTGCCAGATTTGTTGAAAATGTACTGTTTTTGTGAACATGGTGCAATAAATTAGAAGACATATTATCAAGTCATTAAAGCTAAGCTAATATTTTTAGTAAGCTCATTCTTTTTCAGTTCTCTCTGAAAGGACATTTAAACATTCAAACTATTGGCTTTTAAAATTTGATTTTAAAATTAGATTTGGAGATCAAAATCTTGAGTTTCTGAGTTTCGTTTTTACACACACACACACACACACACACACACACACACATATATATATATATATATATATATATGTGTGTGTGTGTGTGTGTGTGTAAACAGGCTACAGAAACAACAGAATTTAAAGGAAAAGGCCTCCATAAAGAATATAACAGCAGACAGCAGTCAGACCTGACAAAGAACAGAATACAAGTCTTATAACTCGCCTGGGACTATTTTACTCTTCCGCCCTCGTTTCAGTGGGCGGTGATACGCTGCAAATCGCTTTACAGTGAAAAATACAGGTAACGGAAGCTAGTGTTGCAAGAATGCTAATAAAGAAAAGTGAGTATGTTGAAATAGCCATTCATGATTCACTCAGTAACCCAAGACCGCAGTGTTACACAATTTTTATGCTTGCGGTCGTACAAGACCATTCTAAACTTGAAACTTGATTCAGGTCTCTGCTCTGTGGAAGCCCATGGGCGGTAATTACTTTAGCAGCACAGATTTCACAAAGAAAACGCCAACATCGTTTAAAAAAAGCTCGAAAATATGTTTTTGAGGGAAAACAGTGGACTGTTCCTTTTTTCCTCACAGCTTGGAGACTTGCCTTTTCAGTGGAAGGACAGAGGTATTTGAACCTACAGGCCAGGGCTTGACATTTAACCTTATTGTTTGAGCACGAGGGCTCTTGAACCCGCTGCTAGTATGCGCGTATTGATTTGAGGCGGTTCACTGTACCGCAGCACACGCTACTTCCCAGAAATCTTTAGCCTTTCATTGTTATTTTTGTTATGTTGCCACGGCTCTTCAGACTGCAGATAACCATAAGAAACCCTGAGGGGAAAAAGGAATTTTTAAAGTTTAATGGTTTCTTCTTGCACACCACAACCCTCAAAACCCATTTCTTTACTGAAGACACATAAACACAGCGCTCAAAACTTTGTGTTTTGCTTTTGGTCTAAGCTGTTTGCTTGATGGCGCCCTGGCTTAATTCAGCTCGAGTACAGCTGTCAGCCATTAGAGCCTTCTAGACGGTCCTCACATTCATGGGAATGATCTAAAGTGTCTTTCTACCACAGGCATTGGATGGTCCTGGCAGTGTGAGAAGGCAGGCAGGGCTACTGTGCACTTTACGAGCTCTCTTTCCAGATGAGCCTTCACTATAAAAGGGGGAAACTGGGACATGAAGGCGTTTCTCACAAAAACTACACTCAAAACGCGTCTACAGTGTAGTTGCAACATATAATGGTACTGTACGCTAATGTAGCCTAGTTCCATAAACAAGAGTGCACTCGCTCTCTGACTAATTACTCACTCTGGTTCATCATCTTGAACTGATCAGTCGGGTGACATTGTTTAGCTCCATCGTCTGGAAGTAGAGCACACACGTAATTGCCCAAGAATGACCACGTTTCTTCAATCATTTAAGAAACTCCGGACAGTGGACCCTGCTGCGCTCTCTTTTCCTCTCCATCTTCTCTCCTGTGTAATCTGAGAGCGCCTTGCTGTGTGAGAGGAGTCAGCAGTGCTCAGACTGTCTCCCTCAGTGAAAACAGGGCGAGCACACTCACTGGCTGCATGCAGACGGAACGGAAAAGGGTCAAAATGAAAGCTTTGTGGACTTTTCTTTTGCTCAACGCGCTGCTGACGGCTGTTCTCAGTGCCTCACCGCGCTGTGGAGCTGGCAACTACTGGCAAGGTTGGTGAGTTTCTGTGTTTGGACTTTCAGTTCAGAGTTGTGCTGCTTCTATAGCTCACTCAGTGCCACAGCTTACACTGGATAGACCACAGCATGAGCCACCTCGTTTTCCAATAACGATGCTTATGTACCCAAACAATAGGTTTTCTACCAAAACTTGCTAAGCTAAATTGATCTTATGCCATCAACAGGTTCTGACAGTCACCTTTAAGCTTACAGTATGAACTCTTTAACGCCATCTAGTGTTGTTACTCCGTCAATAACCTCTCACTTTGTTTCACAGGACAATGCAAAGTTTCAGTGGAGGTCGCGAAACGTAAGTAATTACTTACATTTGTATCTGTGCCATGGGTTAGACCACTGAAAAACAGGCTATAGCTGTTATAACTCCTAGACAAAGCAGCTCACTCATGAATATGCTTGCATTTGTAAGACCCCCGGCCAAGTGTTAACACATCCTCTGCTAATTTCAGTGCAACGTTTCCATTTATTTGATGCAACACATCCTCCACAGCAGGTTTCTACTAATTTCAGTGCACAGTTTCTATTTATTTGATGTATTTGACATAAAGGAAACAATAAAACATAAAATATAAAATGTGCCTTAACGTTTGCACAGGTCACATTTTTTTGTTTTTTTCCAATATGATAAATTTAGCAAATAAACAGTAATTAAGCATTGAAATATGTGTTCTTTGTAGAGGTTGTGGTAACTTATTTTCACCTAGAACATCAACAAAACATGTGGGGTCCCAGACTTTTTCATATGACTGCACTTATTATAATATGGTAAGACTGTGGTGCTGTTTACCACCAACCAGGCGGTTTTAGCTATTAGTAAGTATTCATTTTTGGAAGGAAATAATGCTGCATAGCATGTCCTGTAAGAAGAAGGCCTCTGGTCTGAGAATGGCACTCACAGCAGTTTCACTTTACTTACTGTTCAGACTGGATGGAGGCTATGTGACATGTCAGGTGAAAAAAAAAAAAAGAAACAGTGCCTAGTTTTTAACTTTCTATTCTAAAATGAGGCCTTTCTGAAAGATAAAATGGACACTCCTTTTAGGGATTCACCTCACACAGCTGTCCAAAAGACTGATGGCATTATAAAATATTGATATATTCATTTAAAAGAAAAGATTAAACGTTCAACGAGCTCAAGTTCAGCTCCTGTGTTCAGGTTGGCCTATATGCTACGTCTCCAAAATGCTTGACAGAATACAAATATGTACTTTTCAGAATCTTATTTCTTTGTGTGTACTGTATATCAAAATGTAAGATATTATAGCACATCTCGATATAAAGATAATTATCAGTCTTAGTTATGTAACGAACGCATATTGTACACTAGCTTTCTACCACACAAGATGTTTTGTTGTGTAATTATGCAAAATGCAGTTTAGAAAACAAAGTGACAACCATACAGCAGCTTTCCCTGGATAAGCCATTTCAATTTCCTGCCTACTCCGTTACTCTGAGGCATGACAATGAATGTTGGCAGAAGTACATAACAGAGAGTAGTTAGATAGTAGATTGTTACATTAAGCTATTGTTACTATCTCTGTGCTTAATAAATAATGCACTGAATGTACTTGATTTAAATGTGTACACCATTTTTAAAATTATATTACATCAACACAGTTTTTTTCAGTTTTCTTACTTCAGGCTGTAGTTGTGCTGATGTAATATGTTTTTTTTCATGTAGAAGTAATGTACACAGTTGAATCAAGTGCATTCAATACATCACTTTTTGCCACTGCAGTTTTACTTTAGACTACTGTTACTGAAATATGTAATGAGATAATAACTCCATTTTGACAGTCTGTTATTACAAATATTCTAAACCTGTGTCTGCTTTTTACCTGTTCAGCCAAATGTGCAGACATCACGCTGGCTTACTGTGATGACCTGCCTTATGCCAAGACCATGTACCCTAACATTCTGGATCACAGGAATCGTGAGGAGGTGGAGACAAGCACAGAGTATCTGCTGTTGAGTGTGGTTCACTCCTTGCTGAACGGAGAGTGTACTCCAGACATCCGTATGCTAGGCTGCTCTGTGATTGCGCCGCGTTGCGAGAACCAAAAGATCCTGAAACCCTGTCGCAGCACCTGCGAAGCTGTGCACAAAGTCTGTGACCATGCATTCGAGAGCATTGATATGGCCTGGCCTTACTTCCTAGACTGTGACCGCTTCTTCGTCAGTGAAGAGGAGGGCTGCTATGACCCCCTGGAAGGCCTGAGAGGTAATGGGGAACAAATAGCATGCTTATTGTTCTCTCAAGTGAAGAAATTCTGTTGAAAGCATTAATTCTTTCAATCAACTCCAAATATGTATACGTAACTACAAGACGTAATATTTTATCTTGATTTAAATTTGATTAAAAGCTATTGTTGTGCATACAGTTTTGATTTGTAGAAAAGAAAAAGACAGCAGGTTTATGTTTTTGCCATATTTTTATCATTTTTTGACATTGAAACAAACTTTAAAAAGTTATAATTGCTGACAGGAACCTGTTATACAGAATATAAATTGGATGCAAATGTAATTATTTATGTAACCATCTAATTAATTAATCATGTTTGTTCACACTTCAATTCCTCACTCTTACAAATACATAACTTACACATTAGTTTCATAGTATATACTGAATAATTCATTGTACTTAAGTTATGACATAATATACCTTTAAGATTAATTACTGCATAATAAGCCTATAGTTTAATGGCTTAACAGTGCATCCTTTCTATAAATTCTACACTGATTGAAGTATTAGATACCTCTAAAAGGTAAGTGTCCCTCATAAGCCATGATACTGGACATGACCAGCTATAGTAATATACCTGTTTTGGGCCCACAGTTGTAATCAGACATTGAGTAACTATAGCTTATCTTATACTACTAAGTCTTATAAGCTTGTTCTAAGAATGCAATGTTTGTAATAGCTCAGCAAACATTGTGTACATATACATAAACGCATCTATACATATAATTATGTTTATGAATAAGCTAACATTTGTGAGTAAGCCAATATAAACAATGCACAGCTGCGCAGAGTTCAAAACCTGTAGTCAGTCAGTGAGTATAATCGTGAACATAGAGGAACTAAGTGATAAGTGTTGTAGTTAATTGCCGACAGCATTCATAGGAATAACAGCGACTATTTTATCAATTACTGGATTAATACAGGTAGATTAATTACTATATTTCCTAACTAATTAATTACCATCATTTATAACTCACCTCTGCTAATGCAAACCCTGGCCCATCTCAACTGCCCAGCTGCCTTGCAGCCATGAAATTGTTTTTATCATACTGCAGATTACAGACATTCTATCTAAATCTGTTGATTTGCTCTGTATTTTACAGATCCTTGTCCCTTAAGAAGAGTATTTACTGTTGGACTATAAGCAACAGATTTCCAAAGCAGCCAAAAACATAAGCAGATGTTTGGCACAGCCTCTCAGCTACTTAATTATTCCCACGTTGAAAGTCTTTGATGTTTGATTGAAGTCACAGTTTGAAAGCAGGAAACTTTTTTCTCCTTTGTCTTTGTTCTTGTGTTTTGTCAGTGGCAATTTAGATCCTTATATAGTGCAGCCTAGTTTGTAGTGTCTGCCAGGGGCTGTTACAGACAGTTAGGAATTTCTGTATCGAAAGGTTAATTTGATGATCTTCTTTTTCTTTTAAGTACGCTGTGTGATTTAAAACAAATGACATTTGAAGGGACAGCTAAGGGATGTTTTGCATTGCTTTTAACCACACTTAATCTGTGCCTGTGTTACCATCAAATGCACATGTCTAGTGCATGCAAGTGGTCTTGCATGTGTAGCAGCCCACAGTTAAAAGGCCTATAAACACTCCAGTGTGAACACGACTACTGCACAAACATACTGCTTGAGCTTCATTTCAGAAATTGTTGCATAAGTCCTTCATGGACCCATATCCTACACATGTCTCTTACGGGAATGGGGAGTGAGCAGTAGATTTTGGAACTTCAACACTAAATATATACTGTATTAAATACAATATACTATATATCTTGCAATTATATAAACAATTTGTCAAGGCTATATAGATCTAAATCATCTCCTCCATGACTTACTAATAATGAGCTTGTAGTCAATTACATTTTTCATTATAATGATGACAGTAACTTGAAAAAAAAGATCATCAAGGAATGCAGAATAGTCAGTGTCATCTTATTAACACCCTTATTATCTCTGTCATTTAAAGAGAGGCAGGAGGTGGTGATGGATAGTGTTACAACAGAAGAGCCCTCAACAATAATCCAGTTCACCCATCACTCCAACACACAGATGTTCAACATCCTTAAGAAGACAGCGGCACAATGTTCCCACATTTCTAGAACATACAGCATTGGACAGAGTGTTGAAAAGAGAGATCTGCTGGTAATCGAGTTTTCTAACAACCCTGGAGAACATGAATTATGTAAGTTGGTCCTACAGAAATAGCATTAAGACTGCTGTTAATAAGTAAATAAAAAAGTTACAGTAGAACATGAGTCTGTTAATATAATTTTATTAAACATAGGACATATTTATCTTTTCAGCAAACATCTTGCTCTGCTCTTGCTTCTTTACTTTAAAGAAACTGTTAAAAACAGCCCAGTTAAGTGACAGAAAGCCTTAAATACAAAATTTTTACTGTACTAATACCACAACCACTTTTCAGGAAAGCAGCTACTATTTCAAATATCCAGTGGCTCTCAACTTATTAATATATATTCCCCTTCTTTCCCCACAAAAACTATTTTTACTCTGTTCTGTTGTTTGACAAGTGGAGCCAGAGGTCAAGTACATTGGGAACATGCATGGAAATGAAGCCATGGGCAGAGCGTTGCTGATTTACTTGGCTCAGTACCTGTGCTCCGAGTACCTGCTGGGAAACACCCGGATCCAAACCCTCATCAACACCACACGCATCCACATCCTGCCCTCTATGAACCCTGATGGATACGAATTAGCCTTTTCTGAAATGCAGAGTGGTGCTGACGCAGATTATTATGAGGTAAGAGGCTGTCAACTCTTCTAATGTTCCACAGATGCCAGATTATTAATTTGCTATTGTGTAATGTGATTGTACAAAGAAATGTTTTAATCTCTGTTTGCAGTATTCAAACAGCAAAAAATAACTTTTGCAGTTGGTTCATCATGATCACTATCCAAGGTATCTAGAGTGTCAGCTGTTGGTAAATTTCTTGAGCCACATTTCTACGTTAGTTTGCCACATCTTACCTTGGTTCAAATTATTTTGAAGCTCTATATGGCTTTACAGACGTGTTTAAAATATTACTTGCAAAGCATTTTGAGTTTATGCAGGCTTTGTGTTAAACTTCAAGGTAAGGATGGATTTTACAGAAAATTTCAAATAGAAAAAGAAAAAATGCAAATAGAAGCCACATGTTGTTTCAATCATAGCTACTCCACTCGCTTATTTTACAGGGTGCAGGATATGTTGGGCAACTAGGTGGTCGATACAATGCCCATAACATAGACCTCAACAGAAACTTTCCAGACTTGACTTCTATTGTCTATAATCGGCGTAGGCTCAAGCACTTCCGCAGTGACCATATTCCCATCCCTGACACTTACTGGTTTGGTAAGGTAGGAGTTTTCAGTATGAGTTCTTATGTATAGAAGTTAACCTTTAACAACAGTCACAACAGAAAAAAACATTTTTATACATTTTTTAAAGTAGTTGACCATTCCATGCTCTGCCCACAAATTCATTCTTTCGTAGCAGATGTTATGAGGTTGGACATGCTTTACAGAACTGAAAGAGGAACTGGGGCACATTCTTTTGTTGGAGTTGCTCTATTGGGTTGAACAATGCTGCTGTAAATATGTGAAACTAGGCAGGTTGGAAACAACAAATTTGCCACCATGCTAACGGCAAATTTGGCAAATTTGTTGTCACTTCCAATGTACCCTGTTTCGAATAGCTTCCAATAATGCAGTTCAACAGCTGCTACAAGGCATGCATTTGTAGTCGGAGCATGAATAGGTCACTTGGTTGCAGCACAGTGTGATATATGCAAGTGTTTGTATATGTGTTTTCTTTAAGGTTGCTCCAGAGACATATGCTGTTATGAAGTGGATACGATCTATTCCATTTGTCTTGTCGGCTAGTTTCCATGGAGGAGACCTAGTAGTGTCCTACCCTTACGACCTCTCAAAGCATCCTCAAGAAGTTAACATGTTTTCTCCGACTCCAGATGAGCAGGTGAACCCTGTCAGCTAATAGACAGATTTCATTCATCCCAATGCTGCTGTAACATTACCTTACATGAGTAGGGTAGAATGCATGTATTAACCACACCAAGCCAAGTGATGCAACCATTACCTAAACACCACTACTCAATACACAATACAAGACTACTGTGGTGTTACAAAAAACATTTAAATTGCAGGTTTTCAAGCAGTTAGCCAGAACATATGCAAATGCTCATGCCACAATGTCCAACAAAGACACAGACAGGTGTGGTGCCAACTTTGTTGACAAAGGGGGCATTGTGAATGGGGCTGAATGGTACAGCATAGCGGGAGGTAAGCATGGTGAAAGTAATACCCTGTGGTCTGTTGTCATGTTTTGATTATACATTCTTTGAATAAATTACATTTACTACAGGTATACGCTTACATTACTGTTTGAAAAATGCTGTATTTATGCTGTGTATATATATATATATATATATATATATATATATATATATATATGTAGTTAATGGTGTTACTGTCAGTCAGTGCTGTACCTTAGGTTATTATGAAGCACACCCTGACCTTTTATTTTATGATAGGCATGGCAGACTTCAATTATCTCCACACAAACTGCTTTGAGGTAACAGTCGAGCTGGGATGTGACAAATTCCCCTTCGAGGAGGATCTCTATATAGGCTGGGAGGAAAATAAAGAGGCTCTCCTCAGTTTCATGGAGTCGGTGAGGTTGTCTTTGCATTGAAGTGCATTTTATAATGGCAGATTGTTTAGTTCTGTAGTTATTAGTTATTAGTTATTTTGTACTTTCATTCATTTAGGTCATGTTCTACAATATGTAAAACACATATCATCTCTGTTTCTGTTTTTGTCATTTTATCATAATTTGCACCTACTGTCTTTTACATTGTGTGAATATTTCATAATGAATTATGCAATGTGTTTACATTAATATATATTTCAGGTGCACAAGGGAATAAAAGGTATTGTGAAAGATGAAAATGGAAATGGCATTAAAGGAGCCATTGTGTCAATCAAAGGGATCAGGCATGACATCACAACAGGTACTACAAGATGTTTTTCCATATAACTCCCATATTCATTTAACTTAAAATTTGAGTGCCATATACTTAGGGCAGATTTGTACAGGTTGGACAAGCTTTAGACAACATACACACACAGACTCTTCAGACTGACCATGATGTATAGTCACTCACCTCGCGACCCAGTCAAACTCGGATGCCACGGTAAAGAGTATCCTAGGTTGTGGCTAAGACAAGCTCTGCTACCATGGTGAAAAGTGTTCCAGCTTGCGGCCCAGTAAAACTCTGCTGCCATGGTGAAAAGTGTTCCAGTTTGCGGTCCAGTCAAACTCTGCTACCACGGTGAAAAATGGCCCATTTTTGTGAGCTCACAAGGCAGTCATCCACATGTACTGCAGTGAATTTTCTTCTGGCTCATGGTCCAGTCAGACTCCATTACTGCTGTGAATGAGAAATATTAAATATATTATTTTTTTTTTTTTTATTTTTCAGTGTAAAAAAAATCACAAACAAAAACCTGATGTAAAGCAAGAGCCCCAAATGTGCACAGTGTTCTTACACCAGACACGTACAAAGGCACAGTCAGTTTTCCACCATGCTAACGATAGCTTGATTACATGACAGTAACTACACTCGATCTGTTGTAAAAGTGTGACCTTTCACGCACATACAAAATAATTATCATTTGTAGTTAATAATGCCAAAGTCTTAATTTGGGTATTTTGACAAGAACTGAGGTTCAGTTTCTCATTAGGCTTAATGAGATTTTTTATATTGTGTAAAGCTTGTCCAAATTGGCTACATTAGCTATGAAAGAATGCTTTTGTGCGTGGAGCGTGGATAGGTTAGTTGTCTATACTTACACTCAGTATTGGCTTTTTGTCTAAGTAATTATATCTCTTTGCTCAATCAGCTCAAAATGGGGATTACTGGAGACTGCTGAGCCCTGGCATCTACATTGTGACTGCTTTAGCACCAGGTTATACCAGAGCCATGAAGAGGATCCATCTTCCGTCTCACATGCTGGAGGCTGGAAGAGTGGACTTTGTACTTAAAAAGGCTCCACTTGAGCCAGACGCTGATGACGTTATTATCCCATACTTCAGCAGTTATGACCGATTTGACCCTTATAACCAGCATGCACGCTATAGTATGAGGCAATCTGGGCAGGAAGAGGAGGAGAGGCAGGAGAAGCCCTGGTGGTGGGCCTACTTTGCTCGTTCTAGTAGCCAAAATCCTTCCTGGCTCCTGAGAAATTAGCCCCATCTACTGGTTTGACAGTATCTTCACAGACTTTACAGAATAACACAAATCTACACAGAACAGTTTAGCAATTTTTTGTAGAGAAGCCAAAAATCTAGCCTAGATTATTTAACCTAAATTATTTTACCCAGTTATCCTTAACCCTGTTTGGTCTGTGGTAGATTATTCTCAGTAAAAATCATAATCTTCAGGTTATTACAGTGCAGTTATCTCAGCTGATCAAATTCATACCATAGTAATATTTGAAGTAAAGACAGTCTTCACTGTTTGCAGTGGGCAGTTCATGAGGAAAAGAGTGATATTTTTTCCCCACAGTAGATTTACCTCACACGGCCTAAAATGGACATGCATAGGAAAACGCAGAATATTACTGAATGCTGTCAGTGTATTCCAAAATGTAGATTGAATGTATTGGAATATGTTTTCAACAAATTACGTATTTGTATGAGACATGCACACTTTAGTAATCGCTAGTAAAAGGCCACACTGACATACACCTTGCCATTTGTAAAATTATTTGTTGGATTTTTGTGGGGCACAAATGGAAATGTTATAATAAGCTTCTGTACTACTTGAATATACTTACTAGTATTGTTATACCACTCCAATGTACCTACCAGTATACTCACAGTACTGCTCTACTGTATACTTTCAGTAGGTCACAATGTCAAAATGATTTTATTACATGGTTAAGATAAAGTATGAGTTGATAAACTACCATGTGTATTCATTGACATATTTCTAAAAAAGAAAACACAATAGTGTTAGAGATGTGTGCTTTATAAGTAAAAAAAAAGATTTTCAGCAATTGAGGAACAATACCCAAATAACTTGTAGGTTGCCTGTAACCAAGGAGCAAGTTTCTTATGCAGCTGAGCTAGTAGTGAGTAGGGGCTCATCATTGTTTGTTATTCCTCAGTTCAGTGAGACTAATAACTCAGAGTCCAGTTTGTCCAATGAACTTGGACACTCTAGTACACGTGTTCGGACCTCCACTTGGACAGACATGTTGACTGCTTGGAAACTCTTCATCACAAATAATACAGTTTTTACAAATAACGTTATGATTGCAATTATTGTTGGTTATTATGGTTATTATATAGTGTATCTTTATCAATTATGTCTCACTCAAAGGTCAGTGGAACAATCAGCAAAATTCTATTTGAAGAGCTGATTCTAAACTTTCTCTACAACTTTTGTGTTTGTGAGTATAAGGAAAGATAACATGATTTGAATTTGATTTAATTTGAAAGTATTTGCTATGTTTTAGTTATTTCTTGGCATCGAAACAAATATAACAGTTGCAAGTGCAAATTTGAAGCCGTCATTTAAATCGAATGCAAATATGATTCATTACAGAATGAACTGTGTAATTGAATATGTAATTACATAATTGCATTTGAGTAATATAATACTCTTCTAAGGGTTAGTGATATGAAACTGGGACAGCAACTGTAAACAAAATCATGTTTTGCAAAGGGCTCTGTGTAAGGCATGAAAACATGGTGTTAAATTTGTTCCAGAAATGCTACAAAGCCATCCATCTCTGAGCTAAACAGCCTGTTAGAACCAAAGGGTGACTGCAGGAATCAATGCTTCCCCATGAGGGTCCCCAGTTGTAGGCAAGAGAAGAAAAAAAAACAGTCAGAATGTGTGTAGGCTTCAGGGAGTCCATTAAGGCAGTTGTAATGGACAGTCATGCAGTGCCCATTTATAGCTGACTAAACGTAGCAGATACAGGCCAAACACCTTTTTTGCTTTCCAAATGCCAGGAGGACTGTTTAGATTTCACACATTGTTTCTCGTGGTTGGCTTTAGGCACTGTTTCAAAAGTTACACTACTGAGCTAGACTACCAACCAATCAAAAAGTAGTTGGAAACGGCAACTGATTTGATATCAAATACTAGTGAGACCTGATCTACAGTTCCATCTTAGGTTGAACAGAAATTTTGCCAGTGCCTCCACATAAACTAAATGTTACATCAACTTCAGTAGGTTAAATTAAATACTTACACATGATGATTATGATGTGACATATTTTGTTCATGTTGAGCCAGTGCACACAGTTGAATCATGTACATTCAAAGTAACCATTTTTTCAGTGTATTTGTGGCCTTTGTATGGATAGATTCATTGTTTTCCTTGAATATAGAATTATCTACATTTGGGGAAATGCTGTAGCCTGTTACCGCAGTTCATCTCAGACTATGCTTGTGGTCTAGACATTTAAAAAAAAACAGAATTTTCTGTTATGAGTCAGAAAGTGGAGACACTACTGATTTCACAAACATCAAGAAAACTACCAGCTACAGCTTCTAACAGTGAATATGTCTGGCAAAACCATTTGGCCTAGTAACGCCTCTGGGTATAAGGTAAGACCAGTTGGTCACCACTCCCAGTGAGAAGGTCATAATCAATGCATTTAAAAAGTTCTGATTTCTGGGAATTGTTCTTGTCTTGCCATCATTTCTAAGTGGCCCAGGTCATGAATGGCTTTGCAAGGTGCAATTTAAAACACATGCATTGAAGGTCTTGTTAAGTAGCTGATTATTTAGTTTAGATACATTACAGCAGGGATGTGGAGAAATGGAGGGCTCCAAGACCAGGACTTGGAAATAGCACTAATCTAATAATAGTTTACAGCTGAAATTACATGACTTCTTACAGCTATTACACAGTCCCATATATGAATCATTAACACAGAATGTCACAAAGCAACAACGTGCAAATCCTTAGTTAAGATGTTTAAAAGTAGACTTCATTGTGATGTGATGACGTTTATAACAAAAAGGAATCACTTCGTCTTAAAGATAAACTTTGCAGCTAGACAACAAATTGGTTATGACCGAGTTTCTTTTTGGAAAACATTGCACTCCCTGTTTGACCTATTATTTTGTCCCCAAAAGCTGAATTAACTTATTGATCCTTTAATAACCAGCAGCCAACAGCAGAGGGCGCTGCTGTACAAGATTTAATGTTTTAGTTTTTTACACGCCTCTACGCTTGTGGATGAGAACTTGAGAGTAAAAGCCGCCAACAGGGGGCGATGTTGGTCCATTAACATGTCCATTCCTTAGTTTGAGTACTTTACTTGAGGACTTCGTAAGATTTTATGGGTTTTCTTGTAGAGTAAAATTACAAGAAAAATGTTTTGCTTTCTAATTATTGTTAGACAAGAAATCTAAGAGGAGGAGATGTAAATTTCACACACACCCTAAGGGGGGGCAGTTTTATTTCAGTAGATGTTATCAGACCATGAGGCAGAAGTATTTCACACTTATCTAATCACTCATGACACATAAAAGTGTCGCTCAAACACCGTATTAGTCAGATTAGTCAGGGTAAACATCTGTTCACAGAGTTACAGTCCACCAGATGTGACTTGATGATGGACCTTGCAGGCGCTTATGGTTTTATTCTGTAAAGCAGGGGAGTGTTTTGCTGCTCTTCCCATTTGCATTTTCTGTTTAATAAATGGACGTAATGCTAATAAGAAATTAGAACAACAGATGGTACATTTGCTGAAACATCTATGTGCCACTCTCACAAATTGTCTTTATCTTTTTTTGTCCTCCAGTCTTTTTGTTTTCATTTAGAGTTTTCAGTGTATTTAATGTCTAGCTGCAATGTTTTGGGAGCATCCAGACTGTTAGTATTCAAACTTCAGGATCATCACCTTAAATAGATGTATAATAATCAACTCTTTGCTTGTACAAATATCTTTAGATCATAGAATACAATTTACACATTCAGCTTCTTACTCTTTTGATATTTTGTAGGTCTAAACTGAACTAGTCCTCACTTTTATTAACCTGTTGAAACCATAAACTACTAGTGCAGACATGACTCCAGTCTGTGTATCTTGACCTCTCACTATGCATTTTGAGCTGAGCAGTAATTATTACTGAAGACAGCATAACTACAGTGTGGCTGAGCATGAAAAAGGCGGCTTGATACGGAGGCAGCTGAGGCCTGGTAGGGTAGCAAGCTCAGTGTGGCAGAGATCATTTGTTTGCTTTGCAATTATTTACCATCCGTGGAGACAAATTGAGTCATACAGCGAAACTAGCTGTTGCAGGGAGGCACCAGACGTCCTGAGTAGCAGGTCAGCCAACCACACTTCAGTGAGCTTGCCTCAAGTGTACACTTTTTTTTGTGATGGGGAGGCCACAATTCATCACAGTTATATTGCAGTCAAGCTACTTTAAGTCATCTTAAGTCACCAGAGATGAAAATAAAGATCAGCAGAATGTGTAAGTATGAAGAATGTGATTGCTGTCTTTACAAAACCTCATATCTCTGAAATCGTAACTTTAAAGCAGAAGCAAAAAAGCTCTTACATTTAATGTACTTTAATTACATAATATTTTATTCCAAGTAATTTTGGACCATTTATATTGATCCATTCATCATGAAATGTCCATACACAGTGTAAAGGAGTAGCTAGTGTTTTCAAATGGTGTGAAGAAATAAAAGGTTTCGATACGACAGCAGTGATACAGCATGAAGGAGATGTGAGGATGAAGTATACTATAGAAGTCACATGGTTTGACAGTCATGCAGTGAGTTGACCTGTGTAGTTGTGGGGAGCAGCTCTGTGAGGTGGGCTTTGAGGTCACTAATTACTTAAAGAGGCTGAGAAAGTTGGATTGAGCTGCCCTCTGCTGCCAGGCTGAATCAGTGTCAGCCTGATTGCAGGTAGTTGACTGCTAGCTGCTTTTCTTCTAGTTCACTGATCTAACGCTCACTAAGCTACAAATCATTCATTTCCAAGCAGCAATGTAATATTAAGGATTTTTACTAGTGAGTGTCAGAATTTGACATCTTGTTTGTCAAATATACCATTAATATGTTTATGTAAGAGAAGGTAATAAAATGTGTATTTAGTGGTCAGCTTTTAAAAATACTGAACTAAACTTTTGAGGAGCCACTTTTGCTGTATTTAAATTTCCAGTTTTGAAAGTAATGATTTTTTTCAACTACAGTTACAGTCAAGTCTAATTACCATTTTGAAGTTGTGATTATTATAATGTGATTATTTGGTGTTAGTATGGCTCAGAAATGGGCTTCATTTCAGCCATTTTACAGGCTTTTACCAGCACATCTAGCCCTTGTTTAGCTGGAGCACAAATCCTCTGCCCTGAAATGATCCTCTTGGGGTCATTGTTTAGATTTCTGGCTTCAGAAGCTGTGTGGTTGTGGTCAGATTAACTTTTTATGAGGGCGATTCACAGTGTTCAGCCAAACTAACATAATCGCAAAAACAGCGTTTGATTAACCAATAAGAGCTCAGAGTCATCTCCAATTCAGTCAGCTTGTTCAGTGGCAGCAATTACCGGATTGTACATGTGCAGACAACTACTTCAGTAGGCGATAATAAGCCACTCTCTTTGTTATGGACCTTGAGCAAACCTGAGCAAAACATGTCAAGCAGAGATAATGTAGCAAGTTGAGCATGAAGCCCTACAAAACCAAAAGGATCATTTTTGTCATAAACTCAACAATAACAAAGCAGGATATGCCAAGTTAAAGTAATCTGTCTTTAATAGTGCAGAGATATTTTAATGCAAAGAAATGTGAAAAACAATTACTCAAGTTAACCAAAGCTACTTCTAGAAACACTCGATTCCAACACTTCAGCTAGCCCTTATCGTGTCTGTCAGGGAGGCTTGCTGAGTGTCGATGCTCGTTGCCTGTTATGGTAGCCATGTTTT